GTCTTCACCTGAATTCAGAGGAAATGAGACTGCTGGAAAACAAAGTACCGTATGGTGTAAGAGAAAAGTTACAAAGCAAATAACCTTCTCACTAAAATGCTTTTCAAGAAAAGTCCATTTATGTTAAATTATGTTCTTAGAGAAGTGGTAAGTAAATTACAGAAGATGATAGACCTAGAGAACAAGTTTCACAATTTTCATATTAGGGGAGATTGATGATTTAAAAAAATATTTTTTTATAAAATTAAGAATTTAAAACTTATATAACATTAAAATTTGATTTATTAACTACATGTATATATCATGTTTATTCTTATACAATGATAATAAAGTAGTTTAATTACATTTTAAAGGTAACTCTGTAAAAATTCATGACATGTACACTTTGACAAACCTGTAGTGAGAGAGTGAATAGTTTAACTTTCTCAAATATGAAAGAAATCACACAAAACTTACCCTTCTATTTTCATGATCTATCATAACATTATGAGGCTTTACATCTCTATGCATGATACCCATGTTATGACTGTAATCCAGAGCCTAAGACAAAGAAATTGTACAACCTCATTACACATCAAATGTAGGTAAAAAACAAGCTAAATCCTCATTAAACAATGGACTAAAGTTGTCAACTTAAATATGTAAAATTAAATTCATCATACACTTCATTTAAGAAGGAATAACTAATCTTGTTTGATTAAAATTAACCTTATTTTCATTTTCAAACATTAAAAAAAAAATCAACAGTCATTTCTATTCACTCCAAATATAATCTAAATTCCTAATTCACTTGATACTAAATACTCCGAAAATGTGTTAAGACTTCAAAACATAGTATTACATTCAGCCAATGCAATACGGCTTTGCTAAATCTTAAGATGATTAAAAATTTGTGGAAATCTCCTCAAAACTGTCTCTATCTTTTCCACTTTAAGACAGATCATGTCAGTGTTCTGATCTTGAATTTCATTTTTATTTTTTATTCAGCATGGCAGTCTTTTCAAAAATTTTAAAAAGATCATGAAAGATGTTCTTAAATAATTCTCAAAGGTCAAACTAAAGGCTTATGTTTAAAGCATTATTGGTTTCATTCATTGAAAGAAACATTCTCTCTTACTTTCTTTTTCACATGTAGATGTATTTCTAAGACCTTACGAGTGAAAATAATAATGAATGTATACCAATAAGTCATCCACACAACATCTGTCAACAAGGCCTTTCACCCAATACTAAACTCATCAGGCAGGCTGATATACAACAGATACAGTAGTAGCTGAGATACTACTTATATTATCAAATTGCAAGAACATCAACTGTTATGACATGAACAAGATCAAGTTGGTGAAGTGAATGTATCACCTATAAAGTTAAATGTTACAGAAATAAAAATGTAGTATTTATATTATCAGACAGGCTTTGAAATCTAATCTAATCTTAAAACCAACTTGATCTTGACAGCTTAGCTAAAAACAAGTTTCTAGATGCATGCAGCTTTTATGTTCCCATTATTTCACTTTTTTTTATACATATGTAGTATTATTCTTATCATTATTAACACAAGTTTCTATAATAATAACAAATATATGTGAAAAAAAGTTCAGAAAATTTCCTACTTGTTGCTTTTTAGAATACTTCAATAACTTTTCATACATTTTGTAATACTTTTTTTTTTTTTTTTATAAGACCTTGAACTGGATTAAAATTATTTAAAACAAAAAATTTTTTAAAAATTATTTCTTTTCACAATTATAAGTATATATAAGTAAAAAAATAAATTATGGTACAAAGCAAAATACATTCTTCAGATTTTCACTCTTACCTTGAGCAGCTCGAAAAGGTAAAACCTGATATCAAAATCTGTTAAAGTCTGATACAATTGCTGTAAGAAAAAAAAATTCAAACTTTAAATCAACTGATCAATTCCTTCCTCTTTAGGTAACATGAAATCACACATTTAATGCTATCACAAAATAAAACATTGTATCACACATTAAGCATCACCACAAAATGAAAATAATACATCACACAAAAGCATAACTGCAAGAGGAAATCATTAAATCACACAATATGCACCATCCCAAAGTGAAACATCAGAAAAAACAATTAATCTAAACTTTAAGGACATTTTTGTTGTCTCTGGAAATACTATGTTATTAAACATTTCACTAAGATAGCACTGACCCTTAAAACTGAACAAATTTACATGCTGAAGAAACACTGTTAAACACTTCTTATAAACTTCAAGTTGAACACAAAACAAAAGTATGATGTTGTAATCTCTGAAAGTATATATTCAGTCATATATATTATATGGATAATTAATGTAGCAGGGATAAAGAAATACATAACATAAACAGTTTTAACACCATAACTTCACTTAGGAATGATAAAAACATCTGAAAATTGATACAAATGCTCTTTGTTAACATCCTCATTGCATGAATTAAAAACTTTGCAAATTTTCTGTAATGTTAACAAGCTATGGGCAATTAATTTTAGTGGTAATTAGACTTATAACAACTAGTAAAGATTTTTGAATTAAAAAAATTTAAGATATTAAAGAGTGTAATATCAACAAGTGTGCTAAATTTCATGCTGATATTGACTTTAAAGTTATCATGCTAATAAATTGGTGACTCCAGTGAAAACTGTGTTTTGAGAAAATAGCTGTTAAGACAAAAATGAGTTATTTATTTAGAAAAAGAGGTTAAACTTTTGATTTAAACTAAATTTGAAAAATGTGATTTTTGAAATACTGGGGGGACTCTTTAAGGGTGAGTACTACCTTAACTGTGAAGAGCATTATTAGTTATCATACAGTATGAGAATTGTTGGTCTTAAAATTCCCAAAATACATCATTTCTGAAACATATATAAACACAAGCTACAATATTAAAAAGGGCTATTGTATGATATACTTAATGTCTCCATTAAAAAGTACTCAGTTACACATAATAGCTTAATTGTAAAGCAGAATAACAAATATAAATAATGGATGAAAATAAAACAAGTTAGAATCATTGACATATAAAAAGGAATTTTCTAATTAATAATACTTTACAAAATCCAGTTTTTTTTCTTTTATACTTATATTTATTTTCATTATATGTAAGGACTTGTATAAAACAATGATAAAAGGAGTATCGTGTTACTAGAACAAAACAACAATTATAATTTTACTGAAAAAATAACTACTGGATACAGTTACATGATTTAGGTACACAATAAAAAAAAACAGCAACACCAAGACAGATGGAAGTATCTTTTATGTTTTTGAAATACAGCATTTTACAATAACATTTGTAAAAATTCACAACCTAAAATATTATACAAAACTAAACCAAGTTATACAATGTTTTCAAACACAATCTAGATATTATATAGAAATTTCATGCAATTAGTTAAGCATTTTAGGTGCGAAAACAAAACAATGTCATCCTGCTGGTCCAGAAAAGTACAAGGCATAGAACACGTATAGTGGAATTACATTTAGAACTTTAGACCCTTTGATCCATACCCTGGCATGCTAACCACTAGGCCACACCCACCCCAAATTCTTTAGAAATTGACATTTTAAGTAGTAAGTGACACAACACAAGACAGATTGCTTTGGAATTCTTAACTGGATATCTCCAAAGATGTTGATTTTTGAATTAGCAAGTGGCAAAATACAAAACAATGGCTGGTTGATAATTTTACATAAAAGTTCCGAAGTTAGACCTCCACCCAGAGTTTAAGTATAGCCAACCCTATATTTGGACTAGTGACCAAAGAAAGTCAAAGTGTAGCCAGCTAGTATCACCCACTGCTACTAAGGTTTTGTCTGGCTCTTTGAGATAAATAACAGGGTTGACTTCATTTTTATAATATACCTAAAGCTAATTTCTAAACTCATTCCAAGGTAAAGTCTACCATACAACTCCATAGTTTAAAAATACCACCAAGAGTATTTTAAAGCAAAAAGCAGCTGCCAAATTAATTATTGAAACAAAATAAGTAAGCATTAAACCAGTAAAATTAATTTATTACCTTTGTGTAGCATACATAAACCACAATATATTTAGATTATCTGAAGGCATGCAATCAAGAGGATTCTAATGTAATAACCACAAAATAAAAAATTTTCAATCCATATAAGGATGAAAGAGAAGCTTATGACAAACAAAATCATAGCTTTCAGACACTATATTTATGCTTTTGTTAGTTTTTGAAGCTTAGAAATTATAAAAAGCTTAATATCCATATCCATAAAAAATACAAAACTTATTTTTAACAAAAGAGTTTAAACTCATTTTATAATCAGGTTCTACAAATCATAAGTCACTGATCTAATTTATAAATTCTTGAAAGCTACAATTCTACAGTTAATTATCCACTACACTGAAAGTATTCACTGGTTTTCTTATTAACATGGTTTAGTTTTAAGTTCTAAAAGTACTAACCTTAAAGTCTGTGTTGTTGACATGTTCAAATATTAGTGCAGGTGTTCTTAACTGTAAGAAAATATTGAAGAAGTCAGAAATCAAATTTGCTTGATTTTTTTTAAGAAAGTAAATCAGAATAACATTAGTTTTGATGAAATGTAAAATTATATTTAAACTTTACCATTAGAAAGTAATAAATAAACTTTATTTACATGACTGAAGAATACAAAGTGAAAGAAAAACATTTTTAGTTAATAAATAACTAGCACAGCAGTTCTTAACCTTTTTTAGCTGTGACCCAAAAATTTGGGTCATGGGTTAAGCTTGGTGAGTTAAGCCAAGCCTTCAAATTGTGCAATTGTAATATAATATATGATTACAAGGAAAGTTGGAACAGTCACTGGAGGCCCTTAGCAACCTACTTAAAATGGCTTGGCGACCCAATTTTGGGTTACAACCCAAGGTTAAAAACCACTTAACTAGCATAAACAAACTTTTGAAATTACTCCACTAAAATTTTTTTTTTTGCTTATATAGTTTAATATTTATGATACACAGTATTCAAAGAAGAAAGGAGCCAACAGAACTACACTTACTACAGGGTCTTTAACAACAGCTTGTAAATTGATTATATTGGGTCCTCCTCTCAGGTTTTCTAGAATTTTAATTTCACGCTTTATTTTCTTTTTCTTAACAGGCTGAAAAAATATGTTTTTTTTTAAATAATGTTTATTTTAAGTACAATAATTTGAAAATTAAACAATTGTGAATACAATAGCAACACCAAATATTAACCATTTTGAGAAAAATGAGCCCTGAACTAGATGCCAGAGAACAATTAAGAAATGTTTCTGCAAGTCACAACTTAGATCTGGTTTAGAAGTTAAAGCACAGGATGTTGTGTCATTGTAAGTCATATTTTAGATCTGGTTTAGAAGCTAAAGCATAGAATATGGTATCAGACATCTTAGCTCTTACATAGAAATTACATCACATGAAGTAGTGTCACTAAGTCACATATTTGCTCTGATGCAAAAGCTAAAGTCCAGGATGTAGTGTCATCACTACAAGTCATATCTTAGTTTGAAGTAGAACATTAAACAAAATTTAATGTAACTGCAAATCATCTTTAGCCTGGGAGAATTGGCTAAAGAACAAGATTTACTATCTTTGCACATCATTTCTTAGCCTTGGTGTAGAAACTAAAGTACAACGTTTAGCGTTATTACAAATCACACCTTGGATTTGAAGATCACACCTT